AGTTTTGAAAGAGTACTTAAATGCTTCCGCAACAGCAACAATAACGTCTCCAGGGCTTCTCTGCAATTCTTTGACAAACCATTTGTATTTTCCTTCTCTTGTACGCAAAGAACATCTTCAGTGGCTGCTGTACTCTTCACAGTTAGCTTTGCATAGACCAATTCTAGGTCCAAAACATAATTCTTTACAGTTTCGTCCAGGCTACATGGACGAGCATTCTCTTCTACCTCAAGTATATGCTGAACACCATGCTGCAAGGCATACCTCGACGTCTGTTTCAGTGTTGAACTCTGGATCCCTTTAAGTTTCAATTCATCTAGTTCATCTCTGCAAAGCTTTGCAATGACGCGATGACATTCTTTTCCGCTAACAATAAACTTCTTTTGCCTCGAAGTAGACTCCTCGACCAACCAGTCCTTGACTGACTTGTGAAAGAAGTCAATGCACTCGCCCTCAATGGGTAGAAGAGCCGAGATACAATCAACTGCGTCTCGTACTTTTTGCTCATCAGCCGATGACCATTCTTTTGAAAGGAACAACTTGTAGACAAACTCGACAGGTAATGGTTCTCTTGCTGCCACCATGGCATTTAAAAAATCAAAGAATTGCTCTTCGGTGATACCTAGTTCTTTCTGCATTTCCTTTTTCAGGCGTTTGAAGTAGTCTTGATAAACGGACGAAATACCTGATGGCAAGTCGCTGTTGATCACTTCAGCAGCATTCATACGTACAGCATTCTTCTTAATGAACTCTGTCAGGTAATAGGTATATAACATGACTCCTTCTGACTTTTCAACAAGCTTCTCTAAGATGGTATCTTGGCAATCAGATTGCAAAACATGTTCCAGTTGCTCTTGAAAGCAAAGCCTAACGTCCATCAAGTTTTCTTGATCGTTTGGGTTCAGCTGTATGGGATTTAAGTCTTGAATCTTCTCTAAGATGTTCATTTCAGGTCGCGTTGTTACCACAAATCGTATCCAACACGGAAGCGTCTTGAAGTAATCCGCAATCACATTTAAAAGCTCATTACGTCCCTGGTATTCACTTTCGTCTAAGCCATCTATAACCATGAGATGGATAGAGCCTGGGTCTTTCAAATCTGAAAGAGGTTCTTTAAACAAGAATTCAAACAATTCTTCCACTTCCATGTCTCCAATTTCAACGCCCACATTTCTCGACAACTTCTTCACGAGAGCCTTCCTGTACTCTGGCAGCGATTCGGAGAGCTGACAGGCCAACGACTGCAACATCACTTTGCGATTCCTTCGGCGTGCCATGTTATGCCGACAGAAGTGGCTCCCTGACAATCGTCCAGCCTCTAACATCTTTTGGCACAAGACAGCTGAGATTACAGACTTTCCCATTCCAGCATTCCCGCTAATAATAATCACTCTATTTGGAGAACTTTTGTTAGCTAACCAGCTCTCGACTTCTTTAAGAATCGATAAACGAGTTCCCTCAACATATCTGCTTGCATGGCGTCTTATTTCAGCTAAATTGTCCACCTTTGCTAGTTTCGCAAGAACTTTGTCATCCCTGATGCTCTCATTCTCGTCATTCAAATTTTGAATGGTGTGCTTGGATGCCTCCTCCAAAGTTTGAAGCTTCTCGCAGACTTTTTCAACTGTTAACTTGGTATCTTGAATGGCTTTACTGTCTTGAAGTCGATTCTGATGCACAATACTGACAGATTCTTGCAAGTTCTTTTGCAATTGATGAACTTCTACCAGCTTTGCTTTACTTTCACGAATAGTTTCGTGATCAAATGACTGAATCTGCCGTACTTCATCAACAGTTTGCAGCATTTGGGTCTCAATATCCCGTATGTCCTTCAGCTGTGATTTTATATCTTCCTCAGAATCAGCCCACTCAAGCAACGCATCTAAGAACTCTTGCTCTCCACAATGCTCAGCCTTCAATCTATCAATTTCTGTCCGCCGCAAGCCAAGAGAAACAAGAACAGCACTTATCTCCTGCCACAGAGTTGAGAAAGTTGGACCAGCAATACCAGTTGTGGTAACATGGCCATACAATTCATTGCGGTAAAACTTTATGCGAGCAAGATTTGCTTCAAGGGAGTTGTCACTTAAAAGTGGTTTGGTGTGCCACCCTGAGTGGGGTGGGAAGAGACCACAAATGTTGGTTAAGAGAAGGAATAAAAGAGTGATATCAAATGTCTGGGAGTCTGGAGGAGCACCGCTTGGAGGAAACAATAGATCCCATTGTGATCTGTGTAAAATTCGTTTCTTTAAGAGAGTATTCAGAGTTGAATAGTTTGCATTCAACGCGGCTGAAAGACTTGCTGGGGGATGATATCCATTGAAAACGTTCCTGAGAACTGTTGTTCCACCATCGATGAGAAGTCGGCTGAGCTTGGCTCCATTTGTCTTCTCAACAGAACTGGCAAGAGGTGAAGGAGTAGCTGACGCCATATGATCCAAAATACAAAGATGGAGTCATCAAGTACACCTGCGCGTTTTCTGAAAGAAACATTACAATTGGGCAATTGCTTCTCTTAGACATGTACTGGAAAGAGGAGCAAAACCTCTCCACTCTACTAATCAGTTTGACTCCTTCAACACTATTTAATCCTTTACACCCTAGTGTCATAATGCATATTCTCCATACTTTCTTCACACAATTCCTAAGGTGCTGACAAGGAGATTTTGTTTACTGATCAAAAAGTTCTCTTTAATTAATAATCACTACCTTCATTCTCATGACCCTAACGCGTGACTCAGGGGTTCTATTGTAGGGAGAAATTAGATGCTAATCACTCTTAGGGTTCAAAGGGTTAAAGAAACCTGTCATCTTTAGAGTATCAGGGATTGTTTTTGCACTCTGAAGGAAAAAGATACCTATATAATCGTGTCTCTATAAAAGTTTGTTGACTGAAAAATATTATAAACTTATCATCAAATCTGCGCTGTATTAAGACAAGGGAGACATTTTATTATGATAATTACAAATTACAATACTGCAGGTATCCTCAGTTCATACCCATAGGATAATAATAATTATTATTTGACAGCCTTATGGTTACCTGAGCTCCCCCACACACCATTTGCAATCCTTTGTTGATCACATTTTGGTAATGTCACAGTGGTATTCCAAACGTCAGCTGATTGGTCAGACAAGGAGACAGCTGAAGGAAAAAAGTCTTTAGGATCAGAGATTCCTGAAAAAAATCAAATCCCTTAACAATTTATAAGAAAGTTATTAATAGTTCGTGTAGTGTGATCGTCCGGGTGAGTGTAGTTCTGAAAAGAACTGTTGTTGGTGACTGACGTTTCGACTATCTGTGCGATAGTCATCTTCAGAGTCAAGTGAGGAGTAGTTGTCAGTCGATGATGTTATAAAGTCTGGTCTGTTCAACGTGATTGGTCTGTTTAGCCGTGATGTGATTGGCTGGAAGACTCGTGTAGAGTTTGTTAACAGTCATTGGTCGGTTTCGATCCGTCTGTTGTTTGTCGGTCTGTTTGTCGGTTCGTTCACGTCGTTAATGAGTCGTTTGTAAGGTGCTGGTAATTGTTGACATCTGTTGAGAGGCGTCTGTTCTAAGTTAGTGAACCAGCTTTCCAGAGTCAGTCGTTGAAAATAGTTTGTACTGTAGGTTAAGCATTTAGCAGAGTCCCAGTCGATTCTGTGATTAGTTTGTCGGTGATGTTCAGAAATGTGATTGTTTACATCGCCATTTCTAGTTGCTCGTTTGTGTTCAGTTAGTCGCGTGTTAAGGTTTCTACCAGTCTCACCAATGTAGGAGGCCTGGCAGTCGGAGCATTCGATCTTATAAATCGCTCCCTGTCTGTTGTTGGGTTCGTCTTTGTCTTTAACGTTGGTCAGCAAATGTCGTAAAGTAGTAATAGGCCTGTGAGCTATGCGAATGTTGTAAGGTTGTAGGATTCGCGCGATAGCCTCAGAAGTACCTTTGATGTAGGGTATAGTAGCTGTAGTCGTGATAAATGTGGAGTCCCTGTTAGTTTCTGTAGTGTCGGTCACCCTGTGAGCGTTTCGTCTAATGAAGTCAGTGTTGTAGTTGTTTTTGTCAAAAACACGGTCAAGGTACTTGTTTTCGTCAGATAAACTGTCCGGTGTGTTGCAAAAAGTTGCGCTCGTCTTGTCAATGTCTTGATAGTCGTAGCTTTGTGGGAAGTCGGGTTGTAGGATGATTCGTCAAGAAGTCTGTCGGTATGCGTCGGTTTTCTGTATATTGTTGTTCGTAGTTCGTTGTTGTTTCGGCCTACCAAACAGTCGAGAAAAGGAAGCTTGCCGTCTTCTTCGATCTCCCTGGTAAACTGAATGTCGGTGTTTTGTTCGTTAAGGTGATTGTGAAAAGCGTCAATTTCGTCGAAACGTCAGTCACCAACAACAGTTCTTTTCAGAACTACACTCACCCGGACGATCACACTACACGAACTACTGATACTCCTGGGTTCAAACCATTTACTTTACTACGCTCACTTGGACGACAGAGCGAACGACTTGCGAACAACTACATCAGTCACGCAATTATTGTCAGACGAATACGACAACAACTCTGGTTCAACCACCGCTGCAAAGATCTTGGTCTCGTTCCGGCTGGACTTCGACTTAGGTCCCCGTTGAACACACAAGAGGCCATCCAGATCGTCAAATCCATCTGCCGACGACTGGTCAAAGCGCGGATTGACGACTGTCACAGAAGACTCAACCACTACAATAACAAATTACAACAACTACTTGACAAACTGAAACAGCAGTTACCGACTACCTTACTCGACACAGTCACAGCTATTGCCGACTGAAGAGCCGACAAAACGAGTTACCAAGCTCGTGACCAACATCAACAAAAACTGACGCGACTTCAACATAACAAAGACAAAAGACGACAAAGAACCGACGACAACTGGGTCAGGAACATCTCTTCCCGCCCCTTAGACAAGACTGAGACTCAAATACTATCTTACGGACTGAAACACTCAGTGACGCCTAAACGTATACCGACCGAGTCCATTGTATCTAGTGTTGAGGCGGCCCTTTCTCGTCAACGAGACTTATCAGAACCTGCCAAGGACAACATCAGAAGTAGAATTGCTTCCACGATACAATCAGCCTCTATAACTGACAGCAACTTAACCAAAGACGAACAACAAGCACTGAAACGACTGAAAAACGACAAGAACATTGTTATACTACCAGCCGACAAAGGACGTGTTACTGTTGTTATGGACAAGACTGACTACTATGACAAAATGGACGCACTTGTTAACGACAAACAAACTTACGAATTACTTAAACGTGACCCAACGCCAGCACTACAACGCAAACTCAACAACAAACTACTTACGCTCAAAAAGACTAAAGCCTTTGACACTCAACGCTACTACCGGCTGAGGTGCTCTGTACCACAACCGCCTAAACTTTACGGACTACCGAAACTACACAAACCTGGGATACCTATGCGACCTATAGTCTCATTCTGTGGGTCCCCGACGTACCAACTGTCGAAATACCTTACGACGATACTGCAACCACTGACTGACAAATCGAGATGTAAACTACAATCAACTGAGAACTTTATTGACGCTATCTAAGACGTACAGATACCTGATGACTACAAACTTGTGTCTTTTGATGTGAAATCACTGTTCACCAGTATTCCACTTCAATTGGCTCTACAGTGTACTGGACCCGCCATCCAACAGTCTACTGATGCACTACCATTACCGACAGAAGACATTATGGACCTACTTAACCTCTGCCTTACATCGACTTACTTTCAGTACAACGGGAAACACTACAAGCAGTTGCACGGAACAGCTATGGGGTCGCCGGTCTCCGTTGTTGTCGCAGAAATTGTGATGCAAAACATCGAGGAACGCGCCCTTGCAACTTGCCGACAAACCATACCGCTTTGGTTACGCTACGTTGACGACACATTTACCGCCGTACACAAAGACGAAATTGACGCTTTTCACAATCACCTTAACGAACAAAACACCGACATTCAGTTTACCAGGGAGATCGAAGAAGACGGCAAGCTTCCTTTTCTCGACTGCTTGGTAGGCCGAAACAACAACGAACTACGAACAACAATATACAGAAAACCGACGCATACCGACAGACTTCTTGACGAATCATCCTACAACCCGACTTCCCACAAAGCTACGACTATCAAGACATTGACAAGACGAGCGCAACTTTTTGCAACACACCGGACAGTTTATCTGACGAAAACAAGTACCTTGACCGTGTTTTTGACAAAAACAACTACAACACTGACTTCATTAGACGAAACACTCACAGGGTGACCGACACTACAGAAACTAACAGGGACTCCACATCTATCACGACTACAGCTACTATACCCTACATCAAAGGTACTTCTGAGGCTATCGCGCGAATCCTACAACCTTACAACATTCGCGTAGCTCACAGGCCTATTACTACTTTACGACATTTGCTGACCAACGTTAAAGACAAAGACGAACCCAACAACAGACAGGGAGCGATT